TTTATTTATTTATTTATTTATTTATTTATTTCTGAACCTATTTGCTGCTCAATGAATCTTTACAGGTAGAGATTTTTTCTTCCTAAACTTTATTTAGGTCAGCCAGCATTGACAGCGCTCTGCGGGTGACATAAACAGCTCCGCGACACAACGAATCGATAAATGAAATTCGTTGCCAACGTTTTTAATAATCGATTTTTATCGATTTTTATCAATTCGTTGTTGCAGCCCTAGTCAATAGTATTTTGATTTGACCTTTACTTTAGTGATGAAAGTCGAATGAAACACGACGTGAGCCTTCAGCCTGAAGTTGATTTAAAAACATTGAATATGTGATCTGATTTAGAACCAAATAAAAAAATGACCTGGGTCAGGTATGGGTTGCACGTGGGCCAAAAAAAAAATCAGATTTGGACCACTTTCGCCTGCAGTGTGAACGCCGCCTTTGTCTCACCTTCAGTGCAGTTTCTTGGCAGCTTCACAAGCCGTCACCTACGTCATTCAACATCATCATCAAAACTTAGTTCAGCCACTGACAGCTCTGGGCTCCTCGTGGGCGTATATTAACCCTAACCCAAGAGCAAACAAGCTGCGGTATGAGCAAAATGTTGAGGAAGACAAGAGACATGAAAGAAAGAACAGAAAAAACAGTGCAGTGGGTGGAGAATAAAGGTTCTCAAACAGAGTCAGAGGATGCCAGCATGTGATGGGAGTCTGAGGAGTCTGGATCTGTTTGGCAGAATTTCACAAGCTGAAATTCTCTTTGACGTCAGCGCTGAGATCTGAGGGGTTTCAGGGAGCAAAGGAGAAGACGGCAAGTCAAATCCAGAGAGACCAGGYGAAGGATGGAAGACAGAAAATAGTTCTAAAACTGAGGAGGTTACAGACAGAGACAGACTGACGGACTCTCAACACCGAGTCATGACTCGCTCTCAGCGTGTCCCCTCGTTGTTTATGTTCTGTGGACCGCTCCTGCTGTGAATCCTCATTTCCTCCTCACACCGAGTCTCACTTGTCATTACTCACAGCAGTCAGCGCAGAATCTAATTACCTCAAGGTCGTTCAGTTTCCTCTACTTTTATCCCCGTGGACGTGTACCACTTTATTTAAAAATCCAATGTTTTCCACTAACTTCTGTAGGTTCACTCGCAGAGACGAGAGAAGATTTTTTTTCTTTGCTGTCTTCTACTTTGAGATTGAATTTTAGTGATTTTATTAATGCTCCATCGCTGCTTTAAGGGCTTTTTTACAACCACCTTTTCTTCAGATGTTTTCTCAGTTTTTAAGATGCTTCTCTCTTCTGATCACAAACGCAGAGCTGAAAGTGGGTCGTTATACAGCTTTTATTGCAACCTATTTGTTGACTAATCACTAATGATTAGATGTCATTTTGTTGCTGTTAAGGAACACACAACCCACTTCACAGTGGGAACCCATCAGGACATGACAAACAAGTGCACTCATGTTTCATTAGAGCCTGAAATTATTCCATTAAATATTCTAACGTTTTAGATTTGACTGAATCATATTTTAAAAAATGGACTTCTTGTAACATGACTGTGATAAATGAGAAGGTGACCCTGTGTTCATCAGGTCACCGGTTCAAATCCCCTGACTGTTGCATCAAAAATATGGATGGGGAAAGGTGAAGCATTCACACCTGCTTCAAACCTCATTTGCCGACTTTTTTTTAAAATTAAATAAGTTTTCTTCTAACATATACAATAATTTTGCCATACTACATGCACATATAAAAGTTAACTCCTGTCTGGTTTATAACAATGTCTAAAGTTTTATGTTATCAGTATTTATTGTGGTAATTATTAGGGCTGTGTATTGGCAAGAATTTGATAAGATACAAATCACGACACGGGTCACAATATGATATATCGCGATATATTTGTGATACTGTAAGTAACGGGACGTATTACCATTATTATTTTTAAAACATCCGTATAAAGAGCACACCATGTATTACAAGAGGTCTGTAAAGTACTTAAGTAAAAACACCTTAATAGAAAATGACTTTGGTAAAAGTAAATTTCACTGATGAGAAAGTACTTGAGTAAAAGTCATAAAACTGTAAAAGTATTTTTATACACTCTCTAAGAACYGTTGAATTTACTGAACCAAACTGGTTCCACTAAACCAAGCAAAGAGTAAATTGAAGCAATATAATTTTTTTCTTTTAATGAAAATATGTATGTTTCCTCATTTTACTCTGCTAGGTTTAGTGGAACCAGCTGACATGACTTGGTTGAGTAAATTCAACACATAATGTTTTAGAGTGCATGAACAACTCATGAGTTCAAACATATTGCATTTTATAATGCAGGTGTTAAATGTTAAAGTAAAGAAGTAAAAGTTACCATTTTTAGGTTTTAAATGTAACCAAAATACAGTAAAAGTAACGATTAAAATAATACTTGGTAAAATTACAAATCCTCAAAAAAAAAAAAAAAAAAAAAAAAACTTAACCCTCCTGTTATGTTGGTTTGTGAGGAACAGCAATATTGTTCCTGTCAGTTTGTCCCGGGGAATGTTAAATCATGCAATAATGTCAGAAACCAAAAAAGATCACCCAAAACATTGTTGTATTTGATTATTGACTCCGTTACTGACTATTTATATCAGTATTTACATGTTGATGTTTTTTATATGTCTCACAAATAAAGGATCATTGAGGACAATTCACTAATTTCTCATAAAAAATGCACATTACATTGTTTTATATCCACTAAAGGAAGCTACACACACAAAAACAATGATTATACGTGAAATTGTTATTTTTATTTTTTATTTTTTTACATTTTGAACTATTTAATATGCAGATGTAGGGGAGGTTGCAAATATGTATGTTCATTATACTTGTTGAAACAAATAGAAAAAGTTTCATACTGAAAAAATACTTAGAACTATTTTAAAAACATTTTTAAACTTTGACACAGGTCAATTTGACCCACAACATAATAGGAGGGTTAAATATATAACAAAGTAAATGTACTTAGTAGGGGTGCAACGATATAGAAAATTCACAATTCGGTTCAATACTTTAGTCTCACGGTTCGATATTGTTTCGATATATAAAAGAGAAATGTCCTTGCCCTTTTGAACTTGTAATTCATTTAAATTAATTATGAACATTTGTTTAACCTCAAAAGTACAGTTTTTAAATTAAATGTTGCTGAAACAGCAAGTTTCTCTGTGGATCTGCGCTCGAAAATGCAGCCTAGGCGGAGTAGTCGAACACAGATAAACTGATCTTTTAACACAGAGCATCTTCAGAAGACAAGYTGATAAAGTAAATTTAAAAAAAATCTGTATTGTTCGATACAAGTGTGTATTGAACCTAAAACTCTGTATTGAACGGTTCGATACGGTTACATGTATTGTTGCACCCCTAGTACTTAGTTACTATAAACCTCTGTATTACATGCATAAAATCTGATTAAATTCATTTTTCTTCATCCACCCATTAGGCCTTAATTAAAATCGCTACAGTATCAGGAAATGAAATATTGTGATGTTTCAGTGTATCAATACCTTCTGTTACACTCCTAGTAATTATAGCTATAAAACAAAACCCTCAGCCTAAAGAAAACTCTATCCTAACCTCTCTATAGCTGCTGGTTCCGGTTTAACTTCGACTGGACTGAACAACATGATCAAATAGACTTCCACAGTTTCTCAAATGACTTATTTTATTTTTTCGAGTTGAGGCTTGAGGATTTCACATCTCGTCTTCACAAAATAAGAGTTTAATAAGTGAGCCATCATTAGTGGACTACTCGAGGCTTCACATGACTGAAGTAGTGGATGGTTTTAATTATGCATGAGAACAAACCCACACACATATCTGCAGACTTGGGCAGAGCCACAGCACGGTCCAAGCACATATAATACTCAAACACCAAGAAGAAAGCAGTCTGTGTCCTCTGGTTTTACTGCAGTGGTAAAATGGCTCCTTCTCAGAAAGCTCCTGAGGATGTTACTGTGAGAAAAAAATGAACTAAGTTGAAATGTTTACATATTGGAATGGATTTCAACATCTCTTCTCTGTCCCCACCCCCACCCCCTGCCGTCTGTACCCCTCGCTCCTCTCTCTCTCTCCTCTCCCCTCGTCTTTCTGTTTCTGCTTCATCACCTGCGTGGCTCCTCCAGCAGCCGCTCTCCGTCTCCGCTGCAGGCGTCGGAGAAGGAGAAGGAAAGCCCGGTGGAGCTGACGGAGCGCTGCTTCAGGGAGCTGCTGGGACGAGCCGCCTACGGCAACATCAAGAACGCCGTCACGCCCGTCCTGATGTAAGACACGCTGAACACTTTTTAAAAAAAAAAAAAGATCTGTTTTCTGTTTGGGATGTTGTTGTTGTTGTTTATAGATTTGTGAAATGTAGAAAAAGGTGCGTCTCAACGTATTTTACCTTGACACCGATGGTCTCGCAGGGACGCGACAAGGACGATACAAGGTTATGTTGCTCTAGACTAGATCTGAAGATAGCAGATCAAACATTTAGATTTGTGTCTATTTGTGTTGACTCGTCTTGCTAGAATGTAGGTCATGCTACTGGATAGAAAGTCTTCGCTGTCTTCCTTCTGTTGTTACTCCTTTATAAATTGTTTTCTTAAATCCAGTCTCTATGAATTTAACATTTTTGCTTCAGCTTTGTTTGTGTTTTACCCTCAAACTAAATTATTCAACGCGTATCTTTCACTAGAATGAAGTCTCATTTTTGTTTCCTCGTGTTTTCATTTCATCTTCATTTGTTTTTCTTTCACTTTGGCTTCTTGCCTTGAATTTGTTCTCATTTCTAATTCATTTTGGAGTGTCTGATCTTGTGGATAAAAATGTAATTTTTAGTTGCTCAGTGATTAGCGTATCGAACTACAGTATTTTACCAGATTTACTGTGCAAAATATATTTGCTTTTTAAAATGTGTTTTAGTACATTAAAGGGATCCATGATTAGTTGTAACATTAGATTTTATTTAATAAACATATATTTTAACTGTAAAATAAAGACTGTAAAAATACTGTAGGCTGTTCAGTTTTTATCATTTTTAAACTAAAAATTTAAAAATATATCACACGGACGGAGCCATTTTATTTACACAAAGCATTCTGGGTAAATGATGACGTGGATAGGTCCTCGGTGCGAGGCTACTAGTGAGCTATATCCACCCTGAAGGTTAATCTTGGACAATATCTGACGATCGACTCTTAAATGAAACCAGAGAGCGTTGACAGAGAGGAGAAGGTAGAAATGACTCAGCCTGGAACTGAAAATATAGATGGAGGACAACCGTTTAGCCTGTTTGTCATGCTAGCGCCAAGCTAATACATATAAGGCAATATAGCATCGGCACTAGCACAAAGGCTAACAGGCTAAGCTGAGGTTCTTCTTCCATGAAGCAGCTCTGTTGTCCTCCATCTATATTTTCAGTTCCAGGCTGAGTCATTTCTACCTTCTCTCTGTCAACGCTCTCTGGTTTCATTTAAAAGAGCCGATCATCAGATATTGTCCAAGATTAACCTTCAGGGTGGATATAGCTCGCTAGCAGCCTCGCATCGAGGACCTATCCACGTTATCATTTACCCAGAAATCTTTATGTGTAAAAAAATGGCTCCGTCCGTGTTAAAATATATTTTTAAAAATTATAAAAACTAAACAGCCTACAGCATTTTTACAGTTTTTATTTTACAGTTAAAATATGTGTTTATCAAATAAAGTCTAATGTTACAACTAATCATGGATCCCTTTAAGACATCAGATGTTAAAGTTCATAAGTTCAACACAGCAGTGATTTAGGGTGTATTCACACCAGCTCTGTTTAGTCCAAATTAATCAAACTCTAGTTTGTTTACCTAGAAAGTCTGTTTGTTTGGGGAGGTGTGAACGCGTAATCAAACTCTGATTCAGATTAACTGAACTGAAACCTGGGTTTTTTTAGGTGGACCAGAGTTTTCTTTTTTTGAAGGAAACTCTGGTACGGAGACATCTCGGCCATCTTGTGTAAAAATCAAAATTCTCTATGGTTCTGCTTCATCTTCCTCTCATGCTGAGCTCATTATTGAGTCTTTGTTTGACACATTTGCCAAAAACACACAAAAAAATAATAAATCCTACAACCACTAAACTCTGACGTCGCTCCATGATTTACATTTTGTGAAGAAGGAAGTTGCACTCAGTGTTTTTGTGTCAATTCCTTCARTGGGTCTCGGTGCAGCGCCACCACAGGCGAGGGTTTGTTTTGTTTGACACAGTGCAGTGTGAAAAAGAACCAAACAAGCTGAAAATGTAAACAAATGTTGCAGTTTTGGTCCCCAWTCGAATCGACTGGACCATCATGTGTGAAAACATCCTAAAAGGAAAGCAAAGCAAGAACAATTTGATTAGATTTCAAGTCAGAACATCCTCTAAACRGCTGCTTTCGTGTCAAAAGGGGGGGGACTCTGGTGGTCCTAATCTAACGRCTGTCTGGTGTGTTTCTCTGCAGCATTTCATTTTGACATTTTCAGTCCATTCTTTGTAGTTTTGTCTGGAGYGCACTTCAGTGTGTATGTCCTCAGAGAAAAACAAATGCCCATCCATCACTGTTTCCRTCTCCCTTTCATGGTTTAGTCGTTCATCTCGCTCTGGCTAAACGCAGATTGGAAGTGCAGCACTCYGCAGCAGCAGTAACAACTTTATCTTTTCTGTTTTTATTATAACTTACAGCAAAATTAGATTGAGGATTTGTTCTATAATGAACTCTTCTTGGCTCTTGTAATGCTCGCAAAATAAAAAAAGGAACGTCGTTTATGTCGAGCCTCCATAAAACTGCTGTCTGTGCTCGTCTWTTTTGTTCTCCATCTCCGTTCGCACTTGATAATTGCCTCCTGTTTGTCACTTTCTCGTCCCTCAGGCACTTGGATAACCACTGTCTGTGGGAGGGAAAGACCTTTGCGGTGCGCTGCTTCAAAATCATCATGTACTCCATCCAGGTGAGACGTGCAGCAGTTGTTTATCCTTACAGCTCATATCRCATCACATTTTTCTCCACCTCACTCGGCTGATCTCACTTTTTTAATGTAATTCTTCTTCCGTGTCAGTCCCAGCACTCCCACTTGGTGATCCAGCAGCTTCTCGGTCACCTGGACGCTAACAGCAAGAACTCGGCCAGAGTGCGGGCCGGCATCGTGGAAGTCTTGCTGGAAGCAGCTGCCATTGCAGCCAGCGGCTCTGTCGGTGCGTTACATGGACACATGTGGACGGAGCACTGAAGGACAAAAAAAAAAGTGGTTTCATCTGTGGTCTTCATGTGTTTTCAGGTCCTACGGTGTTGGAGGTGTTCAACACTCTGCTGAGGCAGCTTCGCCTCAGCGTGGACTACGAGCTGACTGGCTCATACGACAACAGCACCAACATCGGCACCAAGATCATCAAAGCTCACGAGGAGCGGCAGCTGCAGGAGGCCGTCATCAGAACCATCGGTGAGTCTGAAGGGTTTATTATTTTTCAATGAGTAGTTTCTTTTATTCATTTAATTTAAAAACAAAACAAATGCTATACATACAACAAATAATAATACAAAACACAAAATGAAAGGTAGCAGAAAGAAGAAAAACATTCTTATTAATATCTGCCCCTTTTTTTCAACTAAATAAATAAATTCAAACAATAATCTTAATAACAAATAACAAAACATAACAAAAAACTTCAACTCCTTCTCGAACAACAGTTCTTATTATACATTATACAAATTCATATTTCTTCAACAATCTAACTTTTATCATTCTCTTAAATAAATTTATTGAGCCAGCATTTTTATAATCACTTTCCAGATTATTCCACAATCGTATTTCTTGGACTGAAGTACATCGATGCTTCAAATTTGTTCGAATTTTGGGCTTTACAAACATCTCTATACCCTTAAGATTCTAAATACTTACTCTCTTAACAAAATTTAATTGAATATTTAGAGGTAATATATTTTATGAGCTTTATACATAACCTGCAAAATATTTTGATCAGTCGACTCATAAAAGTTCAATAATTTCAACTGACAAAATAATATATTTGATGGGTGGCTGTAATGTTTTCTGGTGATAATTCTTACGGCTCTTTTCTGTAAATAAAGATGGGATTTGTAATTGTTTTACATGCTTTCCCCCAGACTTCAATACAGTAAATCAAATGTGGAACAATTATTGCGTTAAACAACATAAAGAAAGCTTTGTCATTAAATAAGTCCCTTACTTTATACAATACTGCAATGGATTTGGCTATTTTTGTTCTTAAGTGATTTATGTGAGATTTCCATGTTTTAGTTTAGGTCATATGTTTTATCGTATGTGTTTTTGTTCCTTTGTCTCCCAGGTTCCTTTGCCAACACCTTACCCACCTACCAGAGATCAGAGGTCATGCTCTTCATCATGGGCAAGATCCCCGTCCCTGGAGTAAATCTGACTCTGCCCTCTACTGGATCTGAGTACGTGACTCACAAAAAAACCACCACGTCCACTTAAAATTCCTTTTAGCTGGGACTCACATTCAGTATGACATCACAGTTTGTTAAGAAGTCTTTTTAGAGTTCAGCTTTTTAAGAGTTTAATTAAAGTTTTATGTTGATTCTTTCGTTCTCAGGCCTGAAGGAACCAGAATGATTCAGGTTATGTTGCTTAAATCCTTGGTCCAGGTAAAAGCTTGTTTCATTTCTTAAGGTTTTATTTAAAATATGTGGCTCTTCATAGTTTTGAATGTGCACAAATTTTACCGTATTTTTCGGACTACAAGTCGCTGCCAAATAGCCTTAATTAACACAGACAGATAACATTGACAACAAGCTAACATTAGCTACCATTAGCTTACCGTCCTCTGTGTCGTCCTGCCCTCTTGTCATTAGCATCTCTGGTGTAGTCCATCATAGAGTCGCAAATGAAACAAAATAAGATAGGTGCGTTTTAAAATATGTTGATCTCTGCGGGCGCATGCAACAAAGTGTCTCTGCTCAATGCAAACACAACCAGCCGGGCCCAACACAGTTCAATCAGTTCACCAGTCTCATTCCACATCAACAGCTTTCTTCACTTTCTTCAGTCAGTAAGTGTAACCTCTGCTTTTCGCCAGTCCCTCACACATTTCTCATTCACTCCAAACTTTCTTTGTGTTGCTCGTTTATCATTTTGAGCCACATTCCTTTTTTAAACCRGTACAAGAACAACATGAACGTAGTTGTCACAAGCTTAGAGTACATCAGTCAAAATGTGTCATGATGACGATAAAAGTGACAAAGTTGCCTAACTATGAAATCAATGTGACTTATAGTCCTGAAAATACGGTAGTTTTGCTAACAACAATGCTTCTGTATCGCAACACTTTTATAATGACAAACAAATCTGTTTGATTATAATCTCTCAGGTGACGGCAGGTTTCCAGACGACCAACATGCTCACAGCGCTGCCCAGCTCGTTCCTGGAGCCGCTGCTGTCCTTCTCTCTAACGGACGACCCAGAGATTCGACTGTTGGTGCTCCAGATCCTCCTCAGCCTCATCGACAGACACGACAACAGACCCAAGTTCGTCAAAATCAGGTGCGTTATTTGGTCCGTAAGAGAGTTAAAGGCTAAAACTGTTGTTGCTTTTGGGACTTTACCATTTACTTTTTTAAATCTGTGCAGGATAATCTCAGACATCTCTGTGCTGAAGCTCAAAGTGGACAAATGCTCCAGACAGGACAATTTATTCATGAAGAAGGTACTTTTTTATGGATTCTACAAATATATCCTGTAACTAGAGAAATTACATTTCCTGTTATAATGCAATGTGAAGAAAGATTTTGCTGAAAGCTGCTTAAGTAGCTCAAGCTGAAAAATTTCAAGCTAAACTTTTAATACCAGTTCAATTTGAACAGCTTTGCTGAAAGTCAATTAGCAGAATGAAACTTTAAGGTGCATAAAAAGCTGTAATTAACAAAAAAGAAGTTGAAAGAAGCACAAAAACTCTGAAAATAGTAAAAGAAGCTGAAAAATATAGAAAAGCTGAATTAGTACAAAGAAGTAAACCTTTTTTTTTTAAAGCAGAGCCAGGCAAAAGTAAAAATTGACAGCTCTGTTAATTTTCWTTGAGAAAAAAATGGCAAAAATTACCAAGCTCAGTGTAAAGGTCACTCCCACTGGACAACAGTATGGTTTTTGTTCCTCGGCAGCACGGTCAGCAGCTGTACCGCCACATCTACCTGGGCTGTAAGGAAGAGAGCAGCGGCCAGGAGCACTACGAAAGCCTCTACGCTCTGCTGGCTCTTCTCAGCGTGGAGCTGGCCAACGAAGAGGTGGTGGTGGACCTCATTCGCCTGGCGCTGGCCTTGCAGGTGTGCTGTGTCATTTTTGTAAAAACTCACCATTTAAAACAGAGAATCCGCATTATGGTTATTTGGTTGTTCGCTTTTCATTTTAAAAGCAGATCTCAAAAACAGATGGTTATTCTGTTTTCATTTTATACTTCAAACAGGGTTCATGCAGGGTCTTAAAAAGTCTAAAAAAGTCTAAAATTTGAAAATCAAAAATACTCAGATTTTCATCCAAGGTCTTAAATTTTATTTTGTGAAATCTTAATTTTTTTTTTTTACTTTTGATCATTCCTGAGAAGCATTGGCTGCATCAAATAAGCAGAGTAAAGAGTTATAATTAGAGATTGACACGATGTGTTCACGAAGGGATAAGTTTGCTACCGCTCTCTGTACGTGTTAAACCACAAGTCCTGTGATAACTGCAGGCAAAAAAAGCACAGTTTGCTTCAATGTTTTCAACATCTTTGCTGCTACAACCCCCCCACCCCCCCGCATACGGTGGATTGTTCATCCGCCCAAAAAAACAAAAGTTCAGTCATGTGCACTGCTTGTGGTTTAAACATGGAAAGTGTGTTTTCAGTGAGACTGGGCTGATATCAGTGATTTTTTTTCACTCTGTTAGAAGTGATCCACATCAGTCAATATGAAGGTCTCAGATATGACTGTTTCATTAAAATAATTTGGTGTTCTTGTATTAAAATTAAATATTATTTAATAGTTAAATTGATATCAATAAAAGGTTTCTATGTTAAAATTTCTGGGACCATTTGAATGTTTATGKTAATGTGTCGGTTCAGTCTTAAATGTCATTCCGGATGGTCTTTAAAAGGTCTTAAATTTTACTTACTGAAACCTGCATGAACCTTGTTCAAAAATGGAAAAGAGTTATTGAACTAGCTCCACCTTAAATAGTTGAATTAATAAAACGGCGGACGGTTTCCCCGTTGTTGGAGCATAAAATAAAAATAGTAAAGCATGAAAAATGAAAGACCAAAACGTACAGACTGAATCCCTGTTTCC